GTCACTGCTCCTGCCCCTGATCCTGTCACTGCCCCTGGCCCTGTCGCTGCCCCATCCTTGCCTGTGTCACTGCCCCTCTCACTGCCCCTGTCCTTGTCCCTGCCCCTGGCCCTAGCCCTGGCCCTGCCCGTGTCACTGCCCCTGCCCCTATCCCTGCCCCTGTCCCTGTGCCTGCTCCCCCTGCCCCTGTCACTGCCCCATCACTGCCCCTGTCCCTGCCCCTGTCTCCCGGGAGGGCACAGAGCCGGTGCCCGGGGCTGCGGGCAGGACTCGGGCGATGGGAACACGAGCTCAGTCTGTGCGTGCTCGCACATAATTTAGGAGAGCGTGCCCGCCCGCCGCCGTGCTGGGGCTGCCCTGAGCGGGGATTTACCGAGCAGCGCAGGTAGGGCAGGGCAATGCCACGGCTCGGTGTCCATCCCGGCCCCGACTGGGGCTGGGGCACCGCGGCTTGCAGGGGCCATGCCGCGGTCCCGGCTGGACACCTGGGCAGCCTTTCTGGGAGCAAGACGCTAGACTGAGGCTGGGAAGCGAAGGTACCACAAGACTTGTAGCCAATCAAGATGTTAAGGATGTTTCACAGCCTTAGGAGGTTTAGATCTGTCATGCCACACTACTGCTGTGTTAAGGATGGGGATTAGACATGCCACCTGGGGAAGATAAAAGCTTTCAGCTATTATATTTGAAGGTACATACTTGCAATCATGGAATTTTGAACTGCTAAGAGTTAAATGACACCTTCTATTTGGCAATGATGAGTATTAAGTGCATCTGGGAATTCAATTCATCCAAGTGACTGTATCTGATATTGGTGTAAATCTGAGTTGTTTTCACTTCTGATATGTTACATACCCCAGAACTAGCTTAGACAGTAAGTAATGCCATTGAGCAATGCAGGGTGGAAAGCAGCTTATCATGCAGCAGCTTTGGAGTGTTATTGGTTCAGACCAAGACGACCAGTGTTTGAATAGGAAGGCAGATGCTACTCATTAATGTGCACAATTATTGTACATGTAGATAGAAGATCATGACAACATTTATAATCTCTGAATTGTTGTGAGCAGTGAAAGAGTCAAGTTAGGAGAATCAAGCCCCTGGAATATATAGGATGTATTTGAGATGAATCAGACACCTGTGTTTTGTTTTGTTTCATGTTCAATAGCAGTGCAAGTTGTTCAGTTCATACTCAAATACAAATTCCATGGCTACATGTGATTAACATATACATAATTTCTCACCTTAACACACAATTTTGGACCCTTTCCACTCACTGTTGGTTACTTACAGAAATGAAACATATGCTACTCAAAAAAAAGAAAGGTAACTATTCATATAGGTTCCAAATAATTATTTCATAATTATTTTCTGCCTCCAGTCTCCAAATAGCAAACAAATGCCTTGACAGAAGATTAGATGAATTCACTCACCACTTTCTTCTTTACTGCATTATTTTCTTTTGTCATGCCGTTGCTTTGCTGTTTGTTCTCCATTCTGTTACCTTGTAAAATAATAGCTGAGGAAGAAAAGAGGGAAAATTGTGCTACTTTTCAGGAGGGAAAAAAGATACAGGCTCTTTAGTAGGTATGCTGTCACTATTAGAGGAAGAACATCAGACCCACAGCAACTACAAAAGAAGTTTAGTCAGTCAGGTGGAACTACATTACTATGGCTGGGTTCCAGCCAGGGTATTTGGATTAATTGTTAGTGTGATTCTAATGATTATTAGACCTTATACTAGCTAGGTGACTGTGCATTTGCAAAGGAGGAGTCTATTTATTTGCTGTTCTGTCAAGCAAATTCTTGGCTGTACATCACCATATGTACTTAAATAATGTTAAAGGGCATTTTAATCTTAATGTATTAAGAAACTAAACTTGTTTTTGGTGTTTCAGAGAGGATCTGATGCTGTTGTTTACATGGTGCTTCATTGTATGATCTTGGGCAGTCTGCCAGTTTGTTCAGTTAATTTGGAACATGGATCACTGTGTTATTCTGCTTTAACATCTTGAGATGACAGCACATTTCAAGATTTTTGCCTATGTGGCCATTATGGCAGTGATAGATCCAGTTCTGAATACAAGCTGTCATCCAGACAGGAGTCTACAAGATAGTGAACTATGAGACGTGGGGAGTAACAGGCAGTTTGGTGAAGCAGCACACTGGATTGTTGAAGCCATCACACTCACAAGAGGTTTTTAGGATGAAATCACTTCTAGGAGACATTGGCAGTACTGGGGCCATTATATCAGATGGTTCCAAGCAATCAGTCTGAGCTTTTAAGTAAGAGAAACCAGAGATATAACAACACATCCTAGAAGCACTAAAGCCAGAAAAGTTATCTTCTTCCCTCTCTACTTACCAGTGCAATCAATATTAACAACCTGCAAACAACCTCCTTTTACTCTGCTTCAAGGGCCCTTAGTCAATTCCTGCTAAATTGTTCTTCAAAAAGAGCTTTCATGGAAATGTATTTCACTTTGTAGGAGAGAGGCTTAGTCTAATCAAACAGTTCTCCTGTCCCATGCCACATTTAAAAAGTATACAAAAAATAATGTCATGAACTGTTCACTGAAGTTCCCACATCCCATACAGATTTCATATATGGATAATGCAGATAATTAAATTAATGAAGGTTCTGACAGAGCACAAACAAAGCATCATCAATCTGGAATTTAAGAGCTGACCAGATAAAGAGTATATGGGTCATAGCACTGAAACAGAAACAACAAAGTCAGAAACAATATCTGCTAAGCATCTAAGGAGACATAACCACATAGCCAAGCCACTAGCAGGGATAACTTGTGTCTGCCTTCCCTCATTGAACTAACTTTTATGTGGCTGAATTTACTTCAAAACATCTTTAAAACATTTTAAGATATTTCTGTTGTGTCTGGAAAGTTTAATTGCTAGCAATGCACCATCAGTATGAATGTTAAGATTGAGCTATCCTTCTTATATTTCAGGTAACCTTCTTTTACTTTTTTTAGGTTATCAACTTGACTGTAGCAAAAGGAATGTCACCATATCCAGAACAGACATTCTAGCTGATGCAAAAAAATAAGAAATCTGGACTGGGGATGGAGTAGAAGTCACTGAAATCCTGCATGGATTTGTAAATGTTATTTTTGCATCTTATTGACCCATATGCAAGGAGGAGAGACATGATTTCAGCAAGCAGAAACCTGATCTTTAGATTGCAGTTTGACAAAATCTAAGGAAGGGATGATCCACTTTGGGGAATGAAAAGCCCATATTTGCTCTGATGCTGTTGTTTACAACTCACTGAAAACTTTTAATAGATAGTGTGGAAAAGTATTCCTTCCCTCTGAAGTTCATATTGCTAGTACCAGGTAAAGTTGCTAAAGTTGTCAATGCAAAGACATTAATTCCTTACTTTTTCTTTGTCACAGCAGATTAGATTTTTCTGCTCCATAGCTTGTACAGTTAGGAGGCAAATTACAGATGAGGAAGGGCTCATTTATGTCAGGCCAGGGAGCATTGTCCATTTCAGCTGCAGTTTGCCTAGCAATGTATGGGTTGAGTTCAGTGGTTCACATGGAATCCAGCTGAGTCCTATGAATTGTTAGCCTTGGCAAGGAAGGCTAACAGCAGTTCACCAAAAAGGAACATTATGACTGGCACAGCAAACTGACTTGGGAGAGGTATGAATAAACCTCCTGTAATCCAGGTTTAATTTTGAACTTCTATTGAACATTCAACTCATTTACTGACTGCAAGGCAGGAAAAAGAAAAGCTGCTGGAAAGCTGTCATGTTCAGAAAAAGCAAATATGCAAAGGGAGTAGTTCAGGTGAACTAAGATTCTAAACAGCCATATTTGCTAAGTCAGATGATGAAATCACCAGGGAGACAACCACCTCAGAGAAGCTGAGTTAAAGAACACATATGTTAAAAAAAACTAACAAAACCAGGCCAGACTAAGAAGTGTATAAAACCTGGACTACATCAATTATTGTCCAGTCTGAGCATAAGGCTCAGTGGCCAGTGAGGCCCATTTGCCATCTTCATCAGATGAGCATGGACTAACACTAAAGCCCCAGTCACTCCACCCAAAGCAAAACACAAACAAGCTTCAGGCAGTTTATCTGTGATATAAAAGATTCTCTTGTCATAAGTTCCTCATGATGGGCATGCACAACTTCCCTATCTGTTTCCCAAGTACAAATTATGCAATCTTCATAGAAAAATAATGTTTATGTCAACATTGCACTACTATGGATGGGAGAAATGTGGAAGAGCAGCCTCCAGCTGACAAAATTCACTTATAGTTATAAACTAGTATGACCTCTCAGGGTTGAAAAGGGCTTTTTACCCCTCAGACACACCTCTTTCAACTGTAGCACAGAGTAGTTTGCTTTCTTTTAAAAGCAGGAAAAAGAAGCACCAGAAGAGACAACACCACAATAAGGTGTGAATGGCAAAGTTTGGAAAACACACTGGTGTAAAAATAACCCAAAGAGACTCAGTAAGTCTTATTTTCTGTGATAGACTGACATCTAATAATTTTTATCTTTGGGAGGCAAAATTGCCCAGTAAAACTCTGGCAAAAGAGCAGGGAGAGGAAAAGTTTTGCCTTTCAGTTTTATTCCATAGCTTGTGTGCTGCTATCCTTTTTCTACTCAGCTATGGCAGAAGTTTTCTATGGCTGAGTGCTTGTGCCTTTCAAAAATGGAGCTGTTCTTGCAGTATGAGATGTAAGCTGAGGACTTGCTTCAAGACAGATGCCTCTGCCCCTAGTTTATGGTGTGTACTACAATAAATGTGCTCCTATCCCTAGTACTATACGGCACACATACACACTCACATAAAAGAAATCCAACATTGATTAATTAAAAAATTGATTAATTAAAGCATCCAGTGTGAAGAACACATTTTGAGCTTCTGTGTCAAAGCATGTTACTGCTTTATGTATTAGATCCCAGTAGGTGACATAACTATCTGGTTAAAATAGGTACAATGGAACTCCATTAATAACTGAAGGGATTACTTTTTCTCAAGCAGTTTTGTTAATCTCGATCTATTCTGATTCTAGTGAGAATGTGCAATTCAATGTTTCCTATACTGTTTATTAAAAATGTCTAGCAGTCCCAATATTAAAATACCATTGATGGAATCAGATGGGATATGACTTTAATTGGATACAGAGCATTCCTATGGTACTGAACTATTTAGAAAAAGTTATTCTCAAATACTGTAGACATCCCAGCTCCCAGAGATACCTGTCTCATAAATAATTAGTTAACATAGTGGTAAAAAACACGTCTTTTTTTCCTGTACCTGTGGTATCCATCCTAAAGTGCCTTTGCAAAGTGGTGAATTATTATATCTGTATTTCAATATTTCATACAAGTCAGAGTCTGATCTCTTATACTGAGAAGTGGAAAGATTGAATTTTTATCTCAAGGTGAAGTGTTCTGTTGTGGGTTGTTGCTGGATTTTGGTGGATTTTCGTCTAAAAAATTCTGGCGAAAATTAAAACTATTTTCCATAGCTTTAATTCTATAGAAAGGAAGGAAAGGGATTTCATAGGAGAGGAAGACAGATTTCAGAGTTAATGACTAGTTACACAGAAGCTGAGTACTTGGCTAGCACAGGAAATTATTTGTTTATAAAGTTCAAAACATTGGTTTATACCAAGATAAATCTATTCTTCCCTCCCCAAGTCAGCCCCTTGAGAATATTGTCAAATTTCCTGCAAAGTGTCAAGTCCAACTTCTAGATGCTACTCACCACTTGTCTGAAGTATTCTTCACCTCCAGTGAAGTTCAGTACAGTTCAGAAGCCCTCTTCAGAATTGCTGCTGTTGCCTTCTTCTCTAAAATAGGGACAACTAAGCCATTGAATTAAATGTAAAGCCAGATTGAACTCTTTTATACCATTTCAGAAGTAATCAATAATTAACAGTAAAAACAAAGAATAGTATGACGTTGCATCTGGAATTCATGCAATGTCTCTTTTCTGCCCAATAGAAAACAAACTGCCTTGTATGGCTGTGATACCCTACAAGAGTTCTTTGTTTCAGATATCACAAACCATGAGAAAGCTTTGCATCCTGAATTTGAACCTTTAGACATTTGAAATGCAAGTGCCTAAGGCTAGGACTTGCATTCTTGTAATTTTACCTGATTACAAGTGACTATACTGAGGGACACCCACAGCATTCCATGTGCTATAACAGCCTTTAACATTGGTGTCTTTGACTTTGGGCCAATACTCATAGCTTTTAACAGTGCCCAGTACCTGAGCATGTGAATGGTGGAGGAGTTGCCCCTTTACAAGACTATAGAAGGCTGGGACAGTACTGTACAGAGCACACTGTACAGTAATTAACCTCTCAGTAGTTAACAAAAAGATTTCCCTTTTCTGCTCTTCTGGCTTTATGCCATAGAGAGGAACTCCATATCAGTGTTAGTTTAAAAATTGAACAAAATATGGATCAGGGCAAGGGTGTAGCAGTTCTGACTTTTTTATAAATTCCTTACATCCCAAAGCTAAGAGAGATAAGAACACTCCATTGGGGAAAGGTGCTATCTGCTTTGGCTTTTCCCTGCTGGTACAGGTATTGCACTCTTGGAAAATTCAAGGTATGTTAAATCAGTCTAATCAGCATTTTTCTAAGGACCTTGATAAGTAATTTAGTTGGATTATTCCTAAATTTGCAGGTGTTATCCAAGATATGTTAGGTAGAGAAGAGGCTGTACAGAGGTGAGTTGGCTGAAACTAATCTCTGGCTGGGATTGGAAGTAACCTTGTTCTTTTGGGGAAAGTGGGATTATTGAGCATGTGGTACTTGGTTTGTATTTCAAGTTGTGATTGTTCTGGCAGCTCCTACGGATCACCTCTGACCCTCTTACATAAACCTTGCTGAGGTTCTCAAAAGATATTAGCATCAGATTTACTTCAGCTTAACATAGGCATCCTTCTCCAGTTACAAAATGCTAATCAATGAAAACATCACTTTTGAGCAACAGGAAAGAAGTTCTCCTTAAGATCCCCTAGCATATTTTATGTAAAAGTGTCTATTGGAATCCAATATCTTGCAATTATCAGGAAATACAGTCTTGTACTTTAGCTCTATGTAACATGGTGGCTAAAAGAAAACAGAAGATTCATTCTCTGGAGTGAGAATGAGGGAAGAGTGAGGGAATGAGGGAGCAGACAGGTGAATTTCAACCAAATCTTATATCTTAGCTACAAGTGAGAGATGATACCCTTCCATACTTGTATATGTTTAGTTTTAATTTCAAATAATCTACATTTTAACTGAAACTTTTACAGCTTTAAAATTAATCCAAGGTGATTAGGTTATGAAAACTAAAACCAAGATGCTCGACTTCCTGGTAGCATGTGTCACTGCTGGAAAGGATCAGCAGGGATCAGCATGTCCCATGATCAGTGTAAGGACAGGAAAATAGGCAAGAAGGGCTGTAAAGCTGGCACTGCTACATTATGAAACAAGTTTTATGTAGTTATGTATGCTTTGGACACACATGTTCAGAGAGCATTAATTCAATGATCATTGAAGAGCAGCTCATTCTATTATAAGACTAATCTTTTCAGACTAAACAAACTACCTCTTTGATCCAAGATATCCCAAGCTATAGATTCAGGTTTATGTTTGCCCTGTCTCATCTTGAACAAGAATACAAAGAAACCATCTCAAGGGTAACTTACACAGACATGACCAAGAAATAGCACAACCAAAACATGAACTTCTAACTTCTTTGTTAGATACCACACAAGCAAGAAATCATAAACAAAACAGAAAAATTAGAATATTACAAGCAAGCCTATGTTAAAAGCTTACAAAGTGACTATTCAAACTGTGGAATTTTAATGTTTACAGTGCTTTTTTCATTGTTAGGAAGTTGGAAACACAAATGCTAGACAAAATGTGATAACCAGAGAGTGTGCAGTGTGTGTAACTATGTATGTGAATGCTCATTCACACATAAAGGTGTAGTTGGTTTGTATGCAGATAGGTCTCTTTGGAAATGCAGGCTCAGATTTTAGGTCTACAAGAACGTTCTGATCTAGCAAAGGAGCAGCCTACAGTTTAGTTTTAAGCTAATTCCACAGGAAAATTAACCATATACATAAATACATGAGTCAAACCACCAAAACTGGAATTTGGTGGCTTTTTATGGCTGTATGTCCTTGATGAAAATGCACTGCTTCCTGCACTGCTAAAACCACAGTTTAAAGAGAAAAGCCAGGGCACTGACCATTTTTATTTAGTAGTCTTTTCATCTTAAAACCCTCAAAGTTCCGAGTACTTACACTTCTGTACAAGGAGATCAAACAGATCTGGGGGGAACAGGAGTACTGAATATTTTAAAATAGTTTTTGCTGATTTTATATGACAGTTCATTGGATCAGCTACAGCAGAGTATTTTCCAGCTATTTTGCAAGAAAAGGTGGTTAATAATTACCCTTTGCTGTGTTGGCCATTAGTGTTGTCTTAACCATTTTTTCTTATGTATGCAAGTCTGGTATGTCATCATTTAGGAAAAATCTTATGAGCCATGAGTTTAATGTTTTTATTATGTTAGGGTTATTTCCAACATTACTCTCCATGTGAAGTAAAGCTAGTTAAACCTTTGCAAAGCTATTTCCAGTGAAATCAGCCTAGCATCTATGTACCATTTAGTAAATGTTGAATTAAATATTGACAAGTGGAGGCTTTTATGTTGTGAGTTCATGTCCTGAGGTAAGACCAGAGCTGCAGCTTTGTACAGGTTCACTCCAGGGGGAAAGGAAACATTTTTAGAATAATTGTGTTATAAATAAGGATGATGCCACAAAATGAAGCCCTCCTAGGATGGGAAATTTGGAGTCAAAGCTGAAGGCAGAGTACTCAGCATCTATGTTTTGGTTGAACATCAACAAATATTTCAAAATTCTTGAGGCCAATACATTTGGACAACGTTATTACACTCAGGAATTGTTTACTACTTCTCTTGAAATCTGCAGAGAACTGGTGATCTTTTTGAAAAATCACTTGAATTGCTACAGTCCAAGCTCTACGTTCTGATTCAAGGATCATCCTCATTAATGTAGAGACTTCTAGCCTTACACATCACTCTTGATCTCTGTGGAGAGGGAAGAATCAAAATGCCTTTGCATGCACTGCAACCTCAGCCAGTCACTAGCTCGCTCAAATCTCGAGTTGCAAGGCTCCAGTCCCCTGAGAGCAGCAAGCACTGCTTGAGCCTGGAGTACACACATTCCTCACAAGGCTGAATGTGCCTAAAAAGGATGCAGAGCAAGCCCAGGGTAGAAATATATACTCATGTTACTTTCTTGTGGAAGTCAGTCCTGGAAATCAAGCTAGGAAAATAAACTTTGCCAAATTTTGCCCTATCCAACCAGTCCAGCTATTTTAAATAACCCAATCCCAGCTTTACTTCAAGCTACAAACCCCTTTTTGTTTGTCTAGCTGTAGTTTTAGGTTTGAAGTTTCATTTTTCTTCATCTAGGGACTAAAAATAATCAGAGATATTTGTGTAACAAATTATTCTCCCCTTCTCAGATTCATGAAACCTGGCAAGCTGTGGTTCACCATTTATTCTCTTGAAGGTTAAGAGATATTATCCAAGTATTCTTCTCTAAAAGTAGGTGTAGGTAATGCAATAGAAAAACAGGCTTCAATGTATCACTACCTTAATTCGTGTTATTAAATCTTGATATGTAAAGATGGTAAAATTCTGCATGTTTTGGACATAGGTGTTTTTCTCCCACTTTGAGGAACCATGGAATAAAAGAAAAAGGTAGTAAGGTAGGTCATCCCTCCTCTCTCAAGATTTAGCTCTGATTTCCAGAGGCATTTAAATGTCTTTTGTTGCAGATTAAAAAATGGTACAAAAATGCTTCGTCACAGTCAGTAAGTTTCAATTACATGAACGTAAAGATACGAAACTCCCTTAGATTGCCAAGGCTTATGAAACACTGGAAAGGCTGGTGGCTGAAGTGCCTGCTTTGCATTTCAAAAGATATTGGGATCAAAGTCTGTTAGTTATTACCATTTTCAGCAGCTGATGGCAGCCAGCCGTGAGGAAAGCCTCCTGGCACAGCGGGGACTCCCCTGCACTTCCCTCTGCAGAGCACACTGTGGTTCTCAGCCATTGTTCCCAGTCCAGGAAAAACTGCTCCAGACCTTTACCCCGACTATGGGCTGACTACCTCACACCTGCCTTGCCACTGTGGACTTGCCTGTTGATGACAGGGCTGTGTCTGCCCCTGATTTGGTGACTTAGAGTTCAACCTGAACCCTAGACCTGCCTCATCACCAGGACGGGTCGGGCTTCTGGATGAGCCTGATCACTGCTACCAGGTGACTGGAAGTCAAAGAAAGAAATTGTCAAAGAAATAGTATCAAACTTGCATAAAAGACACAATTATATCATAAATTCAGAAGCTGGGGACTTGGAGGTGCAGGTCAGTTGTCATAACCCACCCCCCACCAGGGTGAAACCATCATCCTTGGGAGGAGCAGAGGATGGATGAGTGTAAAGGAAGGGAGAGGAGCAGGATCTGAACAGTGTGGGGTAACATTGCTGATGCATTGTTATTCTCTCTTTCTCTGTAATAAGTAGATCTGGACTAATAGCAAGACTCTTAAAATCTCCATTATAGAAACAGGCTCACAGTTAACAGTAAATTCTTAATAGATCTAAGGTGTGTTTCCTCTTTGACAATTAAAAATGCTTTGAGTGGTGTTTCTGTTCCATGTTTTTCTGCTCTAAAAGCCAGTCATTTGAACTGTGATGTCTAGACAGGTGGAAGATATTGCAGAAGTTTAGAGCAGTATCTTTA